AGATAAGGACTCCAAACAGAGAAAAGCAAACCATGTACCCACTACCAGAGAATCTGAAGCTGCTTCATGCAACATACCCCTGCTAACGTGAAAGAAACAGAACCCAAGAGAAGGGACTGTGGGCTCCCAAGGGCGCTGAGATAAACGGTGTAGTCAGAGGGGACCCATGTCTGCTGAGTCCCGCTGAGATCTTAGGTGTGCCTTTGTTCCACCAAGCAACATTACCCTCATGAATCCCGGTTTTGAGGAAAGATATAATCAACGTGTATATTCATGGATGACTGCTACATGCAAGTACTTTCCTGAGACAAGCTTCAAAATAAAAAAATAGAATGCCGAACACAGCTTTGAATTTCCTCCTTCCTGTTTCCTGTACAAAAATATCCATATTATATATTTGAAATCTAGGACTTTGCAAAGTTTTATGCAAGTTATGTGCCTGTCATTCTGTATACGTAAAAAACAATGCATGCTTGCTCATGAATAATTGGAAATTGCTACATTGCACATATATGTGTATACATATGTGTATATATACATATAATCCACACATGTAAAGCATTACAGTATAGGAGTATAGATATTTATATGCGTGCATGCTTTTGGATAAACCTTAATAGGCTTCAGTGTAGAAAGTTAATCAGAATGTGCATGTATAGCATATGGTGTATATAGAATGAGCATGTCATATATACACATAGGTATACATCTATGCACAATATGTGTGTCTGTGCACGTGTATATTCTGAGATGGGCATGTAGATGCATATATGGAGAAGTAAATGCACACATTTAAATATACACTTACAATAGATCCTAAAACAATCTGTGCATATGAATCCACAGATCTGTGAATCATTTTAACATTCAGTGCTTATTCAATGGTTTCCCCTTCCTCATGCCCTTGACATCTTCGCTCCACCCCACCTCATCAATAAACTCCCTGGCCTGGGGCTGTCCATGGAAATGCTTGTCCCATACACACCCTTATTCTTGAGAACACACACCCTGTCCAGTGCTGGCTTTGTCCCAGAAGGGAGGGTCAATGCCAAGGCTGCGGACAGAGCCAGGAGAGCAGACAAACAGGATGAGGCTGAGGCTGGAAGGCAAGTCCAGGAACAGCTCATGAAACTGTCCCAAGGGGACACAGAAAGGATTTGGGGAGCTCGGACTACAGAACACAGCTTGAAGCTCTGTGTCCTGAAATAAGGCATCTCTGTTCAGTGCGTTGCTGGCCTTCCAGCCAACTCAACATGTGCGCCTGCTAAGAAAGCCCCAGGAAACCCATCGTGTGAAGGAACAATTAAGGAAAGTATCATTTGAATTGCAAAACCTACAAGAGGAGTTATGAACTTTAAAAAGGCTCTTCCCCAGTGAAAAATCAACATTGAAACAGGTGGTTAAGTGGGGTATCCATTTACCGGCCAAAGAAATACTTTCTATTTGCTCTGCCTGTGGAAGGCACTGCAAATGCAGAGATGGAAGCTATCCCTGTCCTGACATCTCCCTCCCCCCATCTAGAGAGGGGTTCAGGTGAGCAGAAGACAGTACAGGGCAAAGGAAGGTAGGATGGGAGGGGCTGCTGCAGTTCGGTGCCCATGCTCAGGAGAGGGGCCAAGAGCCTTAGGTGAGGAAGAGGTAGCCAGGAAAGGACACGGGAATAGCATGCTGGGTGGAGGTGGCAGCCAGTACAGAGCCTGCGGGACAGGAGAGTGAGACGAGATTGGGGTGAAACAGCTTTCTCCAGGGCTGGAGGAGAAAGAAGCTTGGGGCAGGAGGCAGAGCTGTGAGAATGGAAGAGTGGAAAGGTGGCCAGGGCCAGATAAGTAACGTTCTAAGATGGCAACAGGAAAGGAGACCACAGTCAGGTGGGTAACTCTCTAAAACACCAACCAGGGACTTGGTGTTTTCTCTTAAAATCAGTGGGAAGCCATGGCAGTGCTGCTGCGAGCTTAAAGGTCTCACTCTGTATTCTAAGACAGTGTGACTGAAGAATTAGACACTTCATTTCCTTCCCTCTCATTAGACATCAGCATATATTTTATGAGAACTCTATTACACCTGTTTTAACTTGTGTGCTCCTTAAGGGAAGAGAAAGAAAATATTGAAATTCTAGATTCTTTACTAAAAATAGGAAACAATGCACAAAACTCCCCCATATTCTACACAAACATCACATTGGCACTGTGAAAAGATCACGGAAGACTGTGAGAAGGAGCCGATCAATGGCTGCAGACATCCAAGAGAGACCTTGGGAGAGTGAGGTTAGAGCTCTTCCCATCTATAAATAAAATCTATTTCTTTCTTCTTGAATATGCACTGAGGCCCGAGGCTCAGGCACTGGCCCATGGACCTCTGCCATCCCCAGAATACTTGCCCAGGCTGGTGGGCTGGAAGCTGGGTGCTACATGATACAGAGGCACTGTCCCACACAAGATCAATAAGATAAGCCTGATCCCAGCCAACCCTGGGGCAACCAGAGACAAGATTGAGCCCAGGGTCAGCCAGCAGAGCTGGCCCTAACCAACAGGTCTCCTCCATAGACCAGCGAACAAGAATAAATGTTTACCACTGAAACCTGTGGTTGTTTGTACCTTGTGACCAATATGGCCCTTGGAAAGGACGATAGCAATATGGCACGAAAGCAATATGGCACATTACAGAATCCAAAGCACCAGTGGAAGCCCCAGAGATTCCACCTCTAAGCTCTGTGTCGCTCTGCAAATCATTTCATCTTTCTGAGCCTTGGTTTGTGTGGGGATAAGAGGGGGATAACCACATCCAAGTGCTGGGTGTTTGGACTGCAATGATATATACATCTTGGGGAGTCAGCAAATTCTAAGTAATTAGAAACTTGAATTATTCACTACTGTGCACTGATGTGGAAGCCCTTATGTGATGGTTCTCACAATACAGGTCATTTAAAGATATGCCTTCCATTGAGGCCAGCAAACCTACACCAGGGGATCAGTGTGACTTGGGGAATCCTTGTACCTCCGGAACTATAAAATCAATAGCACACACTGAGAAGACTCCTGAGGATGACACAACATTTCTGCACAAATGGCCACAGGGCTGGGAGGTACCAGAGCCTCATAGCTGAAATCAGGACTTTGTGCTCCCTGGGCTTGGCCACTGTCCTGCGAGTCTGCGGGTCTTCCTCTTAGCACTCTAGCAATGCTTAGCAACTGCAGAGCCACAAGCAGACCACCCAGAAGCCTCGGCTGATGCACTTGGCCAGCTAATTAGGAACATGAACTGATCGGAGCACGATGTTCCAGCAGCCTGGCCTTGCAGGCCGCCCCGCGTTGGCGCTCTGTGCTGCTCCGTGGGAGAGGCGAGGTCTTTGATCTACAAAGCCTGTGTCCACTTTGATCCCGGTCACCTCTGAGGTCAACCCTCCAGCAGCTGGCCCTTCCCACCAAGTCAGTCACCTGTGCCCTGAGACAGCCTTGTTTAATATTTCCAGATGAAAAGAATCCAGGAGAGGGAGGGAGACACTACGTGCTTCAGTGGTATAGTCAAAAATGTGCTCAGAAAGGGAGCTGAGATACTCCAACTAGTTTCTGTATTTTAGAATCCGGTTAACTACAGGAAAGAAAGGATTTGGGTTTATCAATAAGCACCCAGGGCTCCGCACATGGGTACACACATAAACGCAACCAAGCTACAACTCAAGTTGATGTCTACCCTTGCTGCCTAACAGCTATGGGGAAGCCTTTATACTCTTCAAATGTTAGTGTTTGTTTGCTTTTATCTAGGAAATGATTTTTTAAAGATAAGGATACAGCATCACCTCAGTGTACGAAGACTTCTCTTCATAAACAATTTGATTCTCAAACAAAAGAACTGGACAAAATTTTGCTTCCGCTCACAAAGTCCACACATGAGGTGACAGACACAATTGTGGCCATCTTCCCCAAAATTATAAAACATGAAACTAAAAATAAGCTAGTAAACTGGGGTGCCACCATATATAATTCTCACAACTACTGCATATAGTAATTTCCCCCTTATCCAAAAGATTCATGTTCTAAACTAATCACTCATTGCTTTAGCCCTTGGCTAGCACCAAGGCCAAATTATACTACCTATTTTCCCGTACGTACATATCTATGTTACAATTTAACTTATAAATTAGACGTAGTAAAAGAGTAACAACCATAATAATTAAATAGACCTATAATGTACTAACACAAAAGTTATCTTTTTTAAAAAGTTATTTAAAACTTATGAAGCATTTCACAAATTTTCCATTCAATATATTCAGGCCATGATTGATTGTAGATAACAGAAACTTTGTATGAAGCCACAGGGAAGGGGGATCAGCGTAACTGTAATACAAATTCCCACTTTGCAACGGGAGAGACACAGCCCGAGGACCCAGGTGAGAAAGAGGAGGAGGAAAGACCTGGGCCAGATCTTCATAACTGAGTTTCTACCAATGCTGTCTGATGGCAAGGCCACACTGCCCCAGGCTCAGTTGGCGAGCCCGTTCAGTGAAAATGAAAAGGGAAAAAATGAACTCTGAAATGAACTCAGTACCTATTGCTGTTTCTTACAAAGCTTACTGATAAATGTGTTTGTGTGTGTCTTAGTCACTGCTGGGACAGCATCCCTGACACCCTCAACTCAAAGGAGGAGAGGTTTATTTTGGTTCACAGTCTTTAATGGGTTCTGTCCATGGCTGGCTGGTTCCAAGGCAGGAAGGACATGGCGGAAGGGTCCGGCAGAGGATAGCTGCTCTCATCATGGTGGACAGGAAACAGAGAGAGAAGGGAGAAAGGAGGGAGCGCATGTACCCTTCCAGATCACCCCAGTGCCCTTTCTCTTTTAACAAGACCCCACTCCCCAAACAGCACATTTATTTATGGATATATCAGTGGATCAATTCACTGATGAGCAGAGAGCCCTGTGATCCATAATGACCTTCCAAAAACCCTAAACACATGTGTCTTTTGGTAGATATTTATAAGTAAGCTTTGTAAGAAATAGCAGCATTGACGTTCTGTATGTCATTTCTTTATTCTTCTGCTTTTTTAAATTCCAGTTTTTCTGCTTTAAAATGGAAATCTTCCTAAAAGAAATATTCATACACTACTGTTCCTTCCTTCCTCCAGACAGATCACTGACTAAACACTAAGTACTAAACACCCTGACACTTGCTGGCATTCAAAGTTTAAGGATGTTGATACTAAAGAGCCACATTTTGCTTCTTAATGTTTTCTATCCAAACTGAACAAAAGAACCCTCAGCAGTGGAAGAGGAAGGGGAGACTTCATTCTGAAAGTGATTGGGAACAGGGGGAAATTTTCAGCAGGGTGATGACACATGTCAAGCTCAGTCTTAGAAAATCAGGCATCTGTGTCTTCTCCAGATTCCTTTATCCACCCTGGTATTTCTGAACTCTCAAATCACTAATGGAATTCCTAACCAAGGAGAAGTATAGCCAGGTGCATGCACTTACAGATCTCCACTCATCAGACAAAATAGCCTCAGCAAATCAAGTCCCTGTCTCTTACTGTTTGCCTGTTACAGTCTTTAGCATGTGGCATGATTATTAGCTCAGTCTCTCTGCCAATCACACAAGTTGGGATGGATTAGTAGCCTTGGTTTTAGGCACAAGGCAGCCAAACTCCAGTAGTGGTCTTGCTAATCACATGACAGTAGGCATAAAGAAAGAAAGAATTCAACCTTACAGTGCCTGGGTTCAAAAGTCCTGCTCCTCCTCTAGCACACCGCCTTTCTCACACCATCAAATCAAGCAACGTGGCAGGTACGGAGTTGTCTATGAAATGAGCTCTCACAGATGTCTTTAAAAGTGTCATCGTGTGTTCTCCGGAGGGGATGGGAAAGTGACTGCGTTCCTCTGGATGCACGTGAGCGCCCCCCAAGTGTCACCTGTCCCCAGGCCAGGTAGGAAATGGAGCAGAGTTACTCATGGTAATGTTGTCCCCTCCCTAGTCACAGTCTCATGTCACGTGGAATGCAGGTCACCTCGAGATCCATATTTCCATGTGGGTGACGTCAACAAAGAACCTCCAGCTGCAAGTGCAGGCTGGGGATCCAACATGTGCCAGGCACATGTCTTAAGTTACCATCCCGTGGGTTTGCCACCCTGGGTCGTTTGGAATAGGACAATGGCTTCCAGATAGGGACTCTTCAAGGATCTGGGTGTTCACAGGTCTTCGCTGATACTTTTCACTCTATTCTCTATGTTTAAATTTCCTGCCCGTAAGTCCTTGTCTTAGCGATGTTCAAATGCCTGGACATCCAAAACCCATTGTCTTCCATCTGTCACTCCTCTGTCCTTCTCCTCCCACTATCTTTTCCCATCCTATTTCAGTAGCTATGCATGCTATTATTAAATTATGAATAATAATTATTTATTGGACAGGATGTATGCAAGTGATTTAAATGCGTTACCTATTTAAATTTAAATCTCAAGGTTTATTGCATGCAAGTATTATTATCCTCATTTCACAAGTGAAAAAAATAGACAGAATGAATAGGTGGCATAACCAAGATCACACTGATGGCTTATAGGACAGCTGAGACCCAAAACTACCAGTCGTTTTGTTTAGAGACTATGTGTATTTTTATCTTCTATGCCCTATGTTACTGATCTTTGGGCTCATGCTTTTGAGATGTCTGTCTCTAGAATAAGGACCAGTTTCCCAATACTGGGCACGTATAAAAGCTAAAATGCAATTTTATATGCATTTCAGAAGTACATGGAAATCCACATGTGCAGTGCACACACCACAAAGCTCACTGGAGTAGGACATTCTCCAAGACAGAAACCCAGGGGAACCCAACCCCTTCCCAGTAAGGGGAAGGGTGTAGAAACATCAAGTTAAGTTTTTGAAGCTCGGATGTTTATTAATACCACTTGGGAAACGGCAGTTGAAGGAAGGAAAAAATCCCCCTTGTCTTTCCGCCTTTCAAAATCTCTGTCTCACAGCTGTGAAATTTCAAGAGGGGCAGGAGGGAGTTTTGAACAGAAGCCATTTAAAAGATGGCCTCTCTTGTAAGAATGAGGCAGTGTGGTCCTAAAGTGGGGGAGGACACGCCTGCTCCTTTCCTGCTGTCCCTTGTGTTTGGGTCCCCAGGATTGGTCTTGGGTGCTCTCTTCCTACCCACCCACCCCAAGAATGCTCCCTAAAAAATCTAGAGCACTTGATAAAATGCATTAGGGGTGGGAGTCTTCTGGTGTTAAAGACACTTATATTTGAGTAAAGAAATTTCTAGAAGCACTACTCAAAGGAAAGTTTAGGCTGGGAGGTGATGGGAATGAGGCAGGGTTGTACCTGGATGAGAACTTTGCACTCTAGACATTTCTGGTTATGAATCACTCAAGAATCAGTCTGAGACCCACCCAGATGTTTTCATAACATTTCTTCATCTGATCTCAAAAATCCATAACTTCTGGAGTGTTGGGAGTTTACGGGTGTCCCCTGTCCTAACCCACCCACTGCAGGAAGTGCTGGGGATTCTTGCAGCAAGGCCAGAGGGTGGATTTATTTATTGACTGATGTGGTTCCTTTCAGCATCTGTCCCCAGCAATCACTTCAAACAGTAGAGCTTGGTGATGGAGGTGAGGGTGTAATGAGAGAAAAAGAAGCTTAGGCATAGAGCAAGGACAACAGTCCCTCCTGTGGGGAGACAGCCCCGTCTGCTGGGCGCGCTCTCAGGTGACTTCCCAGGGCCACCTTTCCCGGAACTTGGCTCCGTCATCCCGTTGCCCTTCTGCCCAACTTTGTACATTGTCACCTCACCCCACTGGTCTCCACCCTTCTCCTGGCCACATACGTCAAGATTCCTACCCCACCTCCATCTCTTCACAAAGGTGAAACTCCAGGTTTCAGCTCTGATACTTTGTCCATGTCGTTTTCATTCAGGTGGGCTCACTTGAGTCCCTTGGTGCGGTGCGCTTGGACACGGTAGCTTGGAGCTCCCTGTCCTCCATGTCCTTCCTCAGGTGCAGCGTCTCTGGCCTCTCCTGGCTTCTGCCCTGCCCTGCCAGGCCCTTTGGCAGACCTCTTTTGCTTGTGGATTGCCTCTTGCTTCCTCATCTTCACTGACTTTTTAAACCTCTCCACATTGACTGTTCGGAGAAGACCAAGGCTTGGTATGAGCGTGCATTCCTGTAGTTCCAGCACTCAGGAGGCTGACACAGGAGGATTGCAAACAGTTCAAGGCCAGCCTGGGCTACATAATGAATGCAAGGTCAGAAGGAGCTACACAAGGAGACCTTGTCTCAAAAAAAAAAAAAAAGAAGGAACAAGAATGGAGCACCCTGCATCTTGTCTCCACATGCCTTGTGAAACTCTCCCTGCACCTGTCCACCTCTCTACCCCAGCCCACCCTGCCCTGGCCCTCCCCTGTTCTTCTAGATATCTTTATGCATTTTGTTGATGCATTTCCTGCAAATCCTTCTCCACGTAGATGTCAGAGAGGTAGCTCCAAAAACAGAAATACAAAAACAGTCACTTCCAGAGCTGAACAGCCTCTTTTCATTCCATTACACTTAAGATAAAACCAAAACATATCCCTTTTTCTGCCCCAGAAGCCCGCACACCCTCATTCCTACCCATCTTCTCCCCTTTCCCAAGGGTCTCCTCCAGGAGAGGCAGCTGCTGCCTCATGGAGAAAGTTTCCCTGAGTGACTGATCTGAGGTCACTGTCCAGCCTCCCCAGTATTATCATCTCTCCCCATTCATTTTCTCGACATCATATTCCACATTTATCTTACTGTTTTGTTTATATTGTCCCACTTCAGTACAGATTTGTAACAGGCAAAACTTATGTCTTTGCTTGAAATAAGCCCAAACGTCTGAGTTACGTCCACAAAGGATGGGGCTCTCAGTAAACTCCATCAATCACATGGAGGGGAGGTAAGGTGAGCATCTGTGGTGGTCCCAAGGATGCTCTTGATGTGCTAGACTTCTCTTCTGATACCCAGGTATCTAGCAGAGTGCCAGGGAGGGCGAGCTGAAGACGCCCACAGAGCAGGTGTCTAGGGGAAGCCATCCCCTGGCAGGGCTTCCCTCCAAATCCAGCTTTGAGTTCTGAGCGTGGAGGCGAGGAGGCTAAGCCTGAATATGTGCTCACCTGCACAGCAGTAATGCGGTGCTCAGCAAAAGAACAGCAAGGTTACTTCTCCGCACTCTTCTCCAGCACTGGGATAATGCGATCTGCCTTCTAGGATTATGTAATTATCCCGACATCACCTTGCCTGTGAGTGACGGAGGCAGAATTTAGAAGTCTGACTTATCTCATTCTGAGTCTGCTTTGCACCCTCTGCCTGTGTGTGTGAGTGTGTGTGTGTGTGTGTGTGTGTGTGTACATCGGGATGGTTACTGCAATATTATCACCATCAAAAAACTGTCCTGTGTTATTTCCCCAGCCGGATGAAGCTTGGAGTCCCCCAAATCTCTTGAATTCAGCCTGAATATCTGAACCAAGGAATAATGCCATTTCTTATCACCGAACAATCTTCTTAAGTCTTGAGACTGTGACCAGATGGTGGGAACAGCTGATTCTCCTTAGACAAACTGGTAAGAAAAGGCAGGAAATAGAAGAATACAAAAATACTTTCCAAAGTTTCAGAGAAGGAAAGAGAAATTGTGCAGAAGAGAGCAAACGCTGTACATGAAGAAAACAAAATCCAAGGATTGCACTGGAAAGCAGAGAGGGCTGGAAATGGCAGGCTTCATGGTAACAGAGGGAATGGCAGGCATCCCTCAGGGGAAATAAATGCTCTGCGCTGAGCTTTCACTGGAGCTTGGGGACCAGAGGATCTCTAGAAAATAGAAGCTTGAGCGATGGAAACAATCTCCCCTCTGATGGACACAAACCATGGAGCCTCTGTAGCTGGGATTATCACTACCTTCTATTTGCCACAGAACACCTGTTTTGCATTTTCAAATAAGTGATCAAGCCAGGTGTGGTGGTGTATAGCTGTCACCCCAGCACTCTGGGAGGCTGAGGCAGGAGGGTTGGAGCCGAGTCAAGAATCCTGCTTGGGTAACTTAGTGACTAAGGGAGACTCCATCTCCAAACAAAAAATAGAAAAGGACTGGGGCTGTTGCTCAGTAAAAAGACTTTAGGTTCATCCCCAGGACTGGACCAAATGATCAATCAAAGGATTCATCCTTTTCTAGCACTGCACATTTGTGTGACCTCATTAAAAGATAATCTGGAGAAAAAAGCACAAGTGGAACCGCAGAGCTGGAGAGGTCCAGCACCTTCCTGGCACCTGTGCCCCCTCTGCAGTGTCCTAGCAGCTGACCCTGTGTCCCTCCAAAGTGGACTCAGCAGAAATCCTCTCCTAAGGAGGCCACCGAGAGCAGAGACGGTGGCAGGGGCAGCCCTGACCATGTTGGGCGGGGAAGCTGGGCATCAGGGGGCCACGCTCAGCCCCGCCCAGCACTGACCCTGTCACCTGTCTCCCCTTGTTCTCCTCTCTGTCTTCTCCCCTGTCTTCCTGGGTCCTCTCTAAGTCTTTTATTTTCCGCCTTCTTGGGCTCTTTTGTGCAGCTGTCATTCCTCTCTCCCTCCTTTCCTTCTTCCTTTCCTCCATTTTTTTCCCTTTCCGTTCCTTCCTTTTTTGCTGGCTTCCTTCCTTTCTTTTCTCTTCTTTTCTTTTCTTCTCTCTGTTCCTTTTCTCCCTTCCTTCTTGTTTACTTTCCAAAGCTCAACAACTACATCGTTGTGCATAATCTTTGACAGTTTATGTTTTTGCAAACAAAGAAGTCCTCACTGTATATTTTATTTCTCAGAGGACAGGAAAATTAGTCTAAAAGACATAAAGACAAGACAGCAAAGCTCCTGTGGCTGGGCGGGGTGTGGGTGGGCTCCTCCCCACAGGGGCTCTGGGCTGCAGGTGGGGTCTGGAAGGCAGCTGGGGCTGTGGTCTAAGCGAGGCGATCTCGGCCCTGGAGGAGATTGTATTTCCATGATCTGATCTACCCAGTGCTCCTGCAGCTCCCTGCAGGGGTTGCCTGATCATGCTCTGACTGCTGCAGGAAGGATGGCAGATGTTTTCTAAAGTTTTTATTTCTGTGTCCATGTTTGCAGTTCCTGAAGCTGACGTGACTGTGGGAAGTCTGTACACGCTGCACACCTCAGTTCTTTCTCCCTTCCCCATCCACCCCCATCTTTAAAACTGTGTTTTGTCAGTATCAGATTCCCTCATTTATTTTATAAATCCAGATCCAGTTGATTAAGGTGCACCTTGATTTAGGATAAGTGCTTCATGTGTTCTCTGCACTCGGGCCTGTTAGTCTGACTGCTGATCTGTATTTACGCCAACCTTGTTATTTCTAAAAATCCTAAAGACCTTGGTTTCCTGGAATACCTGTTTCGTTCCCTACACCCTTGCCTTCCAGGTGCAGCAATGGCTTGAGCCCCTCAATCTTAAATTGCAGGGAATCTTAGAGCACATCTAATCCTCCCCAGCTTGTTCGGGGGTCACTTCAGCAACATGCTCAACAGGGACACCCCACACAAGTCACCCCGACTCAGAGTGGCAAGGAGTCACTGAGGATGCTGGTGACTTAATCCAGCTCCTGTTGCTATGAGAAAAAAGTGAAATGAGCTCTGCATGGTGACCCAAGCCTGCAGTCCCAGCACTCTGGGAGGCTGAGGCAGGAGGATCGCAATTCTCAGACCAGCCTGGGCAACTTAGTGACATTGCAAGATCTTGTCTCAAAATTAAGAAAAAAAAAAAAATTTAAACGGTCTAGAGACCTAGCTTAGTGTGAAGGCCCTGGGTTCATTCTCCGAAATGTCTGGACCTGGGTAACTTATAAAGAGCAGAAATCTACTTGGTTATCACTTCTGGGGGCTGAAAGTCCAGCATCAGTCAACCACATTGGTCAGCGTCTAGGGAAACCACGGCTGCTTCACCCCATGGCAAAAAACCAAAAAGCAGCCAGGAAGTGGCTGGGTGCAGAGAAGAAAGTGTGCAGATGAGAGGAAGAAGGGCTTTGGGTTTGTTTTTCCTCAGGGCAGCTTTGGGTGACAGATCCAGTCTGGAGAGAACCGAGCAAGCCTCTGGAGAAAGGTATTAACCTATCCCACCAGTGCTGGGTGCTCCCAGTCCCTGCTTCCTCTTCATTCCTCTGCAGTTAGACTGGAGACCCAGCAGGAGCTGTGGAGAGGACAAGCTCTGGCCAAGCCAGGCCACTTTGATGGGGCAGAGGCCGCAAGACAGCAGCCCTGAGACAGACACACTGCTTGGAGTTGCTCCTGTCCCTAGATGAAAAACCTGGCGGCAAAGTGGTCCTGACTCCTTGCAGGGCATCTGGGTAAATGAGTACGGTGACAGGTAAGTCTGAGTCTGTTACCAGTTACTGACAGTTGGATGCATTCCCTCATTAGCACCTGCACGCACCTCCTGGCCTCACTCCTGCCAGGACCCCAGCGGCCTGTGCATGGAGTGGGCAGACGCCGGTCACTGTCCTTGTTCACAGCTTTGTTCCAACCGCAGAAAGAAGTCTGGCCGACAAAGATTCCACCTTGAGATCCATAGGCGTGGGGAGGAAGCTAGAGTGTTTCCAAAAATGCTTAAAGTGAGAAATGACTTGCCAAAAGTCACACATTGTTTCCTGATGAATGTGAACTAGAAACATCGATCTCTCATTCCAGTCTCAAAGCATTCATCACTGTGAGACACAGAGAAGGAGTCAGGAATGCTGGACTCAGTGGCTCTTTCCACCCCTCTCCTTTGCTCTGTCTCTTCTCTCCTTTCCTTCCTTCCTTCCTGGCAGATCGAAGTATGCTGCAGACACTTAGTGCTTATTTTCCTGGGATTCTTCCAAATTCCGTGAGATCTGGACACTTGATACTGTTCTCCTGCCTGCGTGCATAGGGATTCTGAGATCCTCTATCTGTCCTGCTTGTCTTCCCATTCTGAGTATCATGGAAAGCTCACCCTGCTAGAGGACACTGCAGACCCTTTCCAGACCCTGGTCAGCTCCCTCAGGATGCTGAATGGGGGATGGAGGACTTCAAGTCAGACTGCAAACACAGCTCATGACGGAAAGCAGGACAGAAAGGAAAAGAGTAGAGGAGTTTGGAGGAGGTGGGAGGAAGAGTTCCCAGCTCTTAGTGTGCAGCTGGGATGGCCAAAGATAAAAAGGCAAGGTCTGCTGCCCAGTCCAGGGGACTAAAGCCACCGACATCTCTCTGGTATTGGCAGTTGCCTATGGATGAGCCTCAGGGCTCTTCCCTCCCATGAAGTGAAGAAAGGAGCAGAGAGAGGGTGGAAAACTGGGATCAGTGTGGGGTGGGAAGCTCACAGCTCAGAATTCAGACCTTGGCTGAGCTGTGCAGGCAGGGACATTTGATTCCTGTTCCAATGCTGACAGCTGCCACCCTAGTGACCTCAGCAGAAGCCATTGGCAGGCCAGCAATGGTGCCCTGTCCACTGGAGGCAAATTCCTTAATCTTTGCAAATTTCCATACACGTACTTAGGGTTCAGAGACACCAACTTAGCAGGTCAGATACCAAGTTAGAATCACTCAGCATAGAGAACAGAGTGGCCATGCCATCTGCGTGATGACCACAGGCCCTGGGGTGAGTAAGGAGGGGCTGCTTCCCAAGCACTGGGGTGACTGAGGATGGGCCCACTTGAGCACCTGCAGTGTGCCTGGAGGAGGCTCTCAGGGCGCTCCCCCTGTAGTCTGTATAAACAACATCCTGCCCACACCACTGTCATCATCCAAACTTCCTTGCCAACAATATGGCCGCCTCAGCCCTCGCGGATGCCCCCACATCCCTGCCCCACTGCAGCAAGCCACAAGCTCCTCAAGGGATCCAACGATTCCCTGAGCTGTGAGTGGCTCCTGGCTACAGCCACAGCACACAGTAAACCATTTGATCAAAAGAGATCTATCCTGGGCTATGGCAAACACAAAACAAAACAAAAAACCCACAGATCCAAATCTACTAGTGCACCTCCATGTGTCCAGGTGTCCTGTCTGGGATGTGGTACCCACTAGGCCCTGCCCAGTCCAGGCTCCTGAGTGGGACCTTAAGGCCAGCAGGGAACAGAGGAACTGTGCCCTGCTCCCAGCTGAGACGCTGGGGTAACTGATTCACAAGCCCGACAGCATCCTCATAGCTTGAGGAGCTTTGGTTCATCACAGAGCAAGGAAGCCCTGGGGATGCATCAGCATGGCTTCAGGTTCTGACTTGCTCACTGGTAACTAGGTAACCTTGGACACCATCTTTACCTCCTGAGATGACCCTGATTTTCATCTTTGGTGCAATCACGGTGACTGCATTGGAGAGGTGTCACTGGATGCAAGAGATGTTAATGAAGAGAAAGAACTTTATCAACTTCAGAGCTGCCCCAGTCACTGACACAGAACCGGAACCAGAACCAGAACTGGAACTGGAACCAGTGCTTTAGGAGCAGAGTTTCCTCTTTCAGACTCTTAGATGCCTCCCCCAAGAGGATCACAGCCAAGGGCTTTGAAAAATGGAGAAGAAAGGAAGGCGAAAGGTCTTGGAGAAAGAGTAGTGAGATTCTTAGTTTCTGGTTTGCTAAGTTAAATGCTTTCTTTCCTGTTTCTCTCCCCTTGCTCTCTCCCAGAGCCCCTGGTTAGAAAAGCTCAAGTCTCTTTCTTGCAAGAAGCTGATGCAAGTGTTAGAGTTGCAAAGACATAAAATCATCAAGGATTTGAGAATGTATCAAAGGAGACAGACTTGAAGAAAGCTACTCCAAGTAGCATATGCGTGTAATCCCAGCCCCAGGGAGGCTGAGGCAGCAAGTTTGCAAGTTTGAGCCCAGCCCTTGCAATTTAGCATGTTACAACACCCTGTCTCAAAAATTTAAAACATGAGAAAACAGCTGGGGATTTAATTCAGCAGCAAAGCACTGGGTTCAATCCCAGTACCACAAAACAAAAACAAATGAAAAGCCACCTGGATAGAATGTTTGAGGCCAGAGTAAGAACAAGGACCAGATTCAGAAAGTCTGAGGAAGAGGATGCTAGCCAGCTGGATGCAGAGGATCTCCGGGAAGGCTTGCAGGACAGGTAGCAGAGGTAACTTCCCTCTGCTATACAGACAGGAGCAAGGGAAGGGAAGCTGCGTCACTGGCATAATGGCACCAGTGTAAGTGGCACAGCTGCCACTCTGCCAGCCATGAGCAAATTTGGTTGCTTTGGAGGAAGCAGGTTGCTATTACAGACAGACAGACACACACACACACACACACACACACACACACATACACACACACACACACACACACACACACACACTTTCCTGCATCAGGAGGGAGCAGACCATCATCCACTTCCTAACCCTCCAATTCTTTTAATCTGAGACCTCTTCCCTAGTCTAAGTCTTTATCTTCTTAGATTTAGACTGTGACCCTCCTGATGCCAGCTCCTTCCACCTCCTGTCCAGACACATCCTGAAGATGTCTGCATTCCTATACATCGGCACGCACAGGACACAGCACTCATCCTTAAGCCCTTTCTAAACACTTTTCTCTCTTTACTCTACCTCGTTTTCTCCCCTGATTTCAGCCAGATTCCTCAAACCAAACATGATCTCTATTCCTATTTCCTCACACTTCCAGGAGCTGTGGGTTTTTGAAGTAGGAATGGAGCACAAAGCCTGACCAGTCTCAACCTGAAGCTCGGCCATTCATAAGCCAATTGGCCGGCTTCAGTGAGGTCACTGAGGTCTCGTAGACTCTATTTCTTTGCCTCTAAAATGAGAGCATTAATGTTGACCTCTATGATGTGAGGTTCGAGTGATTTGCGACAGGAGCTGAGTGAGGTGTAATCAATTATTATCAGCAGAGGGGGACCTGCAGGTGCATTCCTGGTCTAGGACAATCTCTTTCAGGCAAAGAAGGATCACCTTGCCACATGCCTCCAATTCTTTAGCCTTCCCACCCACTCCTTTGGAAGTGATCCTTTTGTAGACTGATGCCCCTTCCTCTTACAAACGTGACTCTGCAAGTGGAAATCAAATCAATTTTAGATCTGTCAGCTTGGGATCAGGTCTCATTTTTCTTCTCTTTCCTGCAGAATGTGTTTCTCTTTTTCCAGTGAAGTTTCCTTCCTGATATTGGCTCTTTGGAGCCCAACGATCCAGCTGTTGGCACAAGACTATGTGAAGACATGCTGGGAAGTTTGGGCTCTATGTCAAGTGTGATCGCCTCCAGCACTGTCTAGACTGCAGACCCAGCTCCGGGGGAAAGAGGCGGTGGCAGGACTGCCTGAGGCATGAAGCCATTGGGCGAGGACCCAAGCTTGGAGCAAGCCCTTGCACGGCGTCAGCCCTGCACTCCAGCTGGCCGGCCAGAAGCAGGACAACTTCAGAGAGCCAGCTTCCACCTCTGCCTCCTCCATCTTTCATGTTTAGGACACTGTGTCTAGCCCTGGAAGTTGTCATCTAGTTGCCCTGGAAAAGGTAGAAGAGAGATATCAGAATCACTTTCCAAATGCTTCATCCCTCCTGCTGAACTGTGCTGAGAGCTCACATGGTCGCCTAGGAGGGCAGGGGGCACTCCAGTTACCTCCTGTCTGGAGCAAACGCGGATCTGCAAGATTTCACCAAACTCAGTAGTTTCATGCGTATCATGGAGAGACAGTGTACGATTTCCTTCTGGCCTGTGGGGAGGAAGAAGTTGAAAAGACATTAATTACACTTTCTACCACCTTGGCTACCAAACAGCCTTCCTTGTGTGTATCACCTCAGCTCAGAAAGTACATAACCATGTTGCATTGAATTGAATCCAAGATGCCACCATTTATGCAGTCCTGAGGCAGAGAGACACAGCATGGTCCATGAGGCTTGTGTACAACGTGACAATGAAATGCATCGGGAGCCAGTGATGTTAAAGAGTTAAAAAGGCAAAGAGTCTCTCAGAAATAATGAGATGTGACAGCTTCCTCATAAGGCTCCTGTGAAGATTAATTAAGATCGTGCATCTGAAAGTGTTTTGAAAACTGTCATGCACTGCAGGATTGTTGTGACATTCAGTAGAGGCAGCAGCACACTGTCGTGGGAAAGCCCGGGTTGTAGGGTCAGCAGCCCTGGTTTAAATCCCAGTGACAGCTCTTCTTGCCGTGCGTCTCGGGCCACTGTGCTAACCCTCCTCATTCCTGTTTCCTTTTCTGTGACTGGGAGTAGTCATTCCTGCCCCAGTCCTCTCCCTCGTTTCAGGCCCCAAATATGCTCCAAACGTATTCACACTAGAAGTGATTCGCTTACATGAAATACAAATGTATCCTTTATTTTAATTTGCTGAACAGTGGCTGTCATGGATTAAAAACTGGTGGTCAACACCAGCGGAATTGAATCACCATGCTGCTGAGTGTAGATGTTTGACTTGAGGAAGGTTGCCAGCATAAATGGAGATGTAGAGAAGGAGAAGTGGTGTTGACACATTAATGCGTTGAGGCATTGAGGTATTGTGGGATCTCCTGTGCACTGCTGTTTGAGCTGTGGTTCTCCTGGAGAAGCTCTGGTCCTCCAAGCATTGTTTCTTGGCTCTGGAGGGGAAGATGTGTGCCTTTTGGTCTCCAGGATGAACTCCTCACGCTGGCTTCCTGGCATGTACTTCCTGTGCTTATTGTTGGAGGAGCTCGCGGCCTTCGTATCGCTGAGGGTGGCTATAGTGCATTTCAGGACAGCCCTGGTCTTTCTTGTGATTGTGACTTCTTGGCCCCAGCGTAGAACCCTCATCCCACCATCACAGCTCCTTCACACCGCCGACATAGACTTTCTGGCTTCCACTGCTGATCTTTGGGTCTTCTAGGCATGGATCTGTAAAAGAGACCAGCATGAGTCTTTCTTGTGGACTGTGAACCTCCAGTTGGACTCATGGGAGGCATTGTTATGAGCTCTGGTTTTTCATTTGGACTCCTGTGGAACATTGCTGTGGGATTTAGGCCCTCCTTGACTAAATATTTTATATCTTTAGTATTATGGACAGATTTTCTGCAGTTTCTTATGTTAACTCTGGGTGACCATTGGTGCAAATGGAAAGGACCAACAAATGGTGATGGCAGGGTTGCCGAGGTTGTAAGATTAAGACCAGTGATGTCAGGAGTGGTGATGAACATCTGAAATCCTATCATTGTGGGAGGCTGAGGCAGGAGGACCACGAGTTCCAACCAGGTCTGGCCAACTTATCAGCTTAGCAAGACTATGCTTCAAAATAAAACCAAAACAAAAATAATAGGCTGGGGATGTAGTTCAGTGCAAAGGCACTGGGTTCAATTCCCAGGGCTACAAAAAAAGAAAGAAGGAAGGAAGGAAAGAAAGAAAGAAAGAAACAAAAAAAAGAAAGAAACTTTTAAAGAATAACATAGTGAAGGGTAAATCAGTGGTGATCAGAGGGTTGGAATTATCCTTGGAAGCTCGCAGTGACAGGGCAGGAGCAACAGAGGGGGAGTTTTCCAAACAAGTGAACACTAAGTTTGAACTCAGACAGGCAGAGTAGACGGAGGAGTGGGCGCTCAGGTCTGCGTGGCGTCTCACAAACGCCGGCAGTGACAGACGGCAAATAATTGTCTTGGGAACAAAAAGGCAGAGAGGATGACTAAGTGAGCAAGAGCTGCAGGAAGACAGCTCAGGTCTGCACTGGGTGAGCACACACTCCAGTGTTTCCCAATAACGAAGGCAAAGCTGTAAATTTTTCATTTGTTATTTTTGTAAGGGCTTCAAATCAATGATTTTGTTGCTTCCTGTTTTGTTTCCAGCTTTCATGTCCACGTGCTATGGTTCCTCCAACATCTTAAATAACCGCTTTTTACAAACCAAACCTCAGGCCACACCAAACACTTCAGAGGTAAAGGTCAGGTCTGCCCCGCTGGATAGATTCCTGGGTAAGATCCGGACTCCATACTATGAGCTATTTCTGAGCAGAAGGCAGAGTTTGTGCAGCAGTCGGGTTGTTCTGATTCCAGGTTTTCTAAATTCAGGCCTTTGATATTTGACCATGTTTTGGAGCCCATTGAAATAAACTTGGATGCTGGTCAGTTATCAATGAATGGCATTTGTGTTTTCTGAGGACACACTGACACCTGTGTATTAGGTGAGCTGGGAACTGGGCTCTTGAGTCCCAGGACAACTACACAGTGCCCCCTGGAAGTCCCAGCTAAAGATCAGCCAGCACTCATCTCCCTCGGCTGGTTTCCTCCCTTCCTTTCTCGCTATCTCGGGCTTTGGTGGGACCCTCTGGGGTTCCCTTGTCACATCTAAGGTGTACAACAAATGCTGCCTGCTTGCAGAGAGATTTGTGGTGATCACTCAGAGGAATACATAAGGAAAGGAATTGCAGACTGCAAAACCATATGCTGGTGTTAGCAATTCTGAAGAACTTTGCTAGTTGTTTGCAGGACTAGGGGGAGAATCTCAAGGAGATTAGATGAAGCTCTCATCCCCTGTTGTCAACCTGGGTTGCAATCTGCGGGTGGGAGAATGAACTGAGCTCTTGTTCTTATTGGGCTCTCGGAACCCTTCTCTGGAGGTAGAGAAAGTTGACTCCAATTTTATGTCAAAGCCTTCAGCAAAGCAAGCAATAGGAAAGAGCTCACTTTCACAATTAACAAAGCCAAGCACGGGTCCAAAAGAGAAGCCACAGAGAAAACTTTAAGAAAGCTTTGAATCTTTTGCTATTTCTGGTACAGTGAAGAAGCTAGTCTGAGAGCACAAACTATTTGTACTGAGCTACATCTCCAGCTCCAGAATTTTATTTAACGGCAAAGTCTCACTGAGTTACTAAGTTGCTGGGGATGGTCTGGGCTAGCATTGCTAAGAGCAAACTAGTGGTATTATGAGTGAGATGTATACCAAATATTTCACAGTAAAATGTAAACATTTATTTATTTATTTAGTTAGTTAGTTAGTTTTAATATTTTGATTCTTTTGGTTCGGGAGATCGAACTCAAAACCTTGCACTTCCCAGGCAGGTGCTTAGGCCACTGTGCTAAATCTCCAGCCCCAGTGTAAGCTTTTAGAATAAAAAACAGATCACAGAAAATTCTGTAAATATGAGAGTTCATAACCAATCAAAATCAAAAGCTACATGTGGAAAACAATTTTATCATTTCGTCAGGCAGGCATCATTTTCTAGAGTACATCTTATTAAAAAGTAATCTAGATATGGACATTCAAAGCAAGAAGAAATCTTAGCAGTCATGTAACCAGGATTTGTAATTTCATAAATATTTGCACTCAAAGCAGAAGGGATTTTGACAGGGCCACATAAAAAAGACAGGCAGAGCCAGAAACAGTCCAGGCCCTCGGGCTCTCAGGTTCATGCCATTTTAGGTATAGTGGGCTCTTTTTGTCTTTTCATAGAATTTTCATGCATTACTTCACAAATAGATCATTTTGCATTTGCATTTTTTCTATTCTTGGAAAGAAAATGTAGTAATAATAATTCAGCTTTACTACTGTTGTAAGACAAAACTTTCTAAAGGAAACTTTTGTTTCCCTTGCTATGCAGTTCAGCCTGGTTTTAAACTCACTACATAGCCCAGGCTGGCCTTCAATCTGTAGCAATCCTCTTGCTTCAGTCTCCCAAGTACTGGAATTACAGGCGTGCGCCACTACACCCAGTTTAGAGGTAAATTCTCTGCAGCGAATTTCTCAATTAAATTCAGTTTGCTTGCCCTGAGTGCTCATGGTTCTTATCTAGAGATGGGAAAAGGACAGTTCCTCTGGTGGGAATATGGTAAAAGCTAAACTGACCCATTTGGTCTCAGCACTTTCCTTTCCCCCCAACACTCCAGATCTCTTAATAGCACAATACAACATCATATGACACCTTGGAAAAAATTTTGGACAAATTTTCTTTCCACAAAAGGCTAATGAAAGAACCTTTTCTACCCAAAAGCTGCAGACCTTGGTAGAAAGATTCTCTGCTGCTTTAAAATATACATGAATAGCTCCTAGACCAAAGTGTCTGAGAAATAAAACTCAGATCTCAAGTGTTAGATAAACGAGTGTGACTTACTGCTTGGCAACTAGCTTCCAACATTAGATGATGTGAATCATACCCTCCTCCTCCTTTTCCTTGGGCAGAGTGCTAGAAACCCAAAGTGAAGACTTTTATTCTCAATGATTATGCCTTTTCCCAGCGAGGGCACTTGGGAACATTGCAATGACCACTTCATTTGTGCCTTTTTCTTTGATAGCAGGCATTTGAGTTTGTTCTTCCCCACTTCATTTAGAGCTGTCTAGAATTCTGGCCTTTGCCAGTAAGCAATACTGAAACAGCACACATACAATAAGACCAGTGGTTCTTGTCTTGGTCCTTAGAACACAACATTGACCCTTGAGTAGATCATAAAGAAAAGAGATTTATTTTGGCTCATGATTCTGCATCAAGGTCAAGGAATAGGGTGTAATGGTGGCTTTTGTCCTTGCAGAGCCCTGAGTTGCTGCAGGGACATCAGATGGCAGACAGCGTGTGGGAGAGAAGACACTCAACTGGTTTCTGCAGCAGACCCACCCTTGGGGCAACTTGTTCGTCTATTAATTAATCACACATGGATTAACTCATCCCGAGGGCAGAGCCTTAATCACAGCTAAGTGCCTTAACTGGTCCCATCTCTGAATACCTCATGGCAGGGACTCAGTTTACACCTCTGCTGTGCACACTGTGGTGGTAACTAGTGAATATACCGAGACAGAATTTCTGTTTCATTCACTGGCGTGCATATTTTCATCCAGTCTTCTAGACCTTTCCATCCTCTTTGATCCTGGTGGGACCATGGGTGATCACGCACCCTGTCCTCATGCCTGGGCTGGCCTCTGAACACAGGTGATGGGTAAATATTGCTGCGTCCTCACTCCTATGATTTCTTCCAAGAAATGGGGGAGCCAAGCAGGACCAGCTCTCCTCCTCTCCAGGATTGCTGCACAGACATCCAGCGAGAAGGGGAGCTCTCTGTGGGAAGGTGGTGCGTCCCAGACTGCCAGGGATTGGGGGCTGATCACAACCGATGAAGCCAAGTGAGGATGAGCACAATGGAGAGAAGATGAGAGAACACAGTAGGTCACATACAGGAGGAACAAGGAATCTGACATTTATTTGTCCTGTTCTCTTCAGTATCCCAGTACCCAGCACTGTGGCTTCATGTAAGCACCTAAACACCTTTTATGTAGAGTGAGTGATGGGCTATTTTGTATTCTAAGTGCAGTGTCTTCCTTCTTAAAAATGAATTCTTTCCAGAGCTGCTAGAAGTTACATTAGTGCACAGTGTGTCTGGCACCCGGCATGGTTCCCCTCCCTCTGCCATCCCAAGGAGCGTAGGGAGCCATTAAATCACACAAGACTTGAAATCAGGAGACCAGTCCCCTCAGGCAGCTCTGCCACACAGTGACTGCATGCACAGTCCCGATTTCTTGGGGCCTCTGTTACCCCACTGCTAAAAAGAAGGAGTGAAGCCAGCCCGGAGATTGCTTCCAAGTCTGCCATTCCACGGCTGACGAAAGCACAGTATACTGATGACTCACGGAGCAGGATAAACAACTTCTTCCCCTGTGCCGCCTGCTAGAGTCATGAGTGGAACTCTTTCTAAACAGAAAAAAATTTTCACACCAGGCGAGTCCAAAATCTCTGAGGGTTAAATAAGGGGAAGCATAATACTAAGCAGATGAGTCCTCTGAAATGGGATTGCAACACCTTTTGGAAGCCCACCCCGGCTGCTCCAGGCTCTCTCCTGACTGTGTGCACTGCTGTGCCCGGGGACACCTGAGGTGACCTATAGCCCTGGGCCTGTGCACTCCCTGCCCAATGTGCCTTTTGCATTTGCTGCAGAAAGGACTGTGGGGTACAGGGCACATGAAGAGTCCGTCCTGAGGCCTCCCAGGGAAGCTGTTTGCTCCCAGACAGCCAGATTGTAATC